AGCTTCCCAAATTGGCTTTGAGCAGCAAGACCTTGGTCATCACCAGCAGTGCTGCTGCAGTGGCAAGGGGTCTCACCTGGATGGATGTCCCAGGCAGATGCACATCTCAGGCTGGTTTTGCAGTTGGGGTGTCCATGACGTGGACTGGGAACTCCTACGGATGGTTTTCAGGGTGCTTGATTGACTGTTCAGCATCTCACATGGAGAAGCTGTAGTCGTTGTCTCCTTCTGCAGCAGTCCGAGTTGGGCAAGGTGCCATCTATGATAAAATTGGTGTCATGAATCCAAACTCCAGAGTCTGTGCAACAGCATTTAGCTCTGCACCTGAGGAAAACCTTTTGGTTACAGGGGGAAAGACTCTGGGCTAAAATGCCTGGAGTAAATGCCCATAAAATGCCTCATTTTATAGTTGCAGTTGTAGATAGTATAAGACCTCTTTTCAGGTGGTCTGGGAGGGAGCAGGTAAGCAGAACATGGGAGTGTGATGGATGGGTACAGGCACTGGTGTTGGATGCAGCACAAAATGAGCAGCTGAAGGACATTAAAACATGTAAGCCAAACAAAAACTGTCCCAATTCCTGGGAAATTAGGTGGTCTCATTTTTCGGATACTTGGACTAGTTGGGCAGCCTTTGAGCACTTGGCGGAGGAGCTGGTGAATCGATGGGCATCACCTAAGATGTCCTGCAGCCGATCTCCTCGCTGTCAGCCAGGACGGTGTAGGGGCAAGCCTCACCTTACCATGGTTTGTGATTAACTTTGTTCAGCAGCCTGGATGAGATTAATGAGCTTTCCAGCCTTGATAGGTGTCATCTCTTTGACCTGATTGTACTTTTCAGGAATTTCTCTTTCTGTCAGTAACGTCTCAGTCCAGCAGTTTTGATTCCAAAGCTTCTTTTACAACACAAATGTGTGATGGTTTTATTATTTTTTTTCTTTTCCTCTGCTATTTTTAACTTCTTTTTAATTGGCACGATGGGCACTGGACGTCAGCCTTGAGCAGCAGATTGCTTGGCGCTCCACTGCGGTGATCTCAGCAGAGGTTAGCGTGTTGCACGAGCTGGCACCTGATGTGGTGTGCTCGCAGGCCACGGAACTGGCTGGGGGCACAGCCGGGACCGAGATCCTCCCGCACCCACATGCGGCAGTAGTGGTGGGTGGGTTTGGGCCGTGGTGGGGTGCCGGGGAGGGCCAGAAGATGTGGGCTCGCCGGCGAGAGCCTCGCTGGATGGGACACTTTGGTGGACCCTTGGCAGGTCATGCCACCATGTCTCAGAGCTACCCGGGGGTCCCTGCGTTGTCCTGCATGGATTTTGGCCACACAGACGTGCCCCTTGCCCTAAGAAAACCCTCTTTCCCATCTGAAAGCGGTGGCCTTAACAACATAGCTGAAATGTAGGGGATGGATGGGGATGGCAGCAGATCAGGGACGTGAACCCGTCCCACCACACTGCCCCTATGTCCTCCGCACCGGGTCAGGGACATGTCCCAACCGTCAGACCTGGTTTAGGAGGAGGGGTCTCCTCCTTTAGGACCAGCCCCAGCTGCGGTAGTGCCAGCATCTGAGCTAGGCGGTGGGGCTGCGGCACCAGCTGATGCGAACAGAAAGGTTTCTGCTTGCTGTTCTTTCTAGCTGTCACATTTGTTCCCAAATACAATTATTTTGTCTCGCTGAGCTTAATAGGAATTAAAAAATCTTTGTGAATCAGCCTTGGAGGGGGTGGGGAAGGGAGGGACAATAAACCACAGGCCGAGAAGTGGCATGAAAATGGGTGATGTTTAAATGTTCTGCCCGATGGTGTCATCCTGCATGAGCCATGAAAGACCTGGCCTGTGATGCCGGGAGCAGGGGCACGTGACTCAGCCACGCTCCTGCCTTTGTGCTGCTGTGAGTCATCTGGCTGGCCCCGCGCCTTCGGCACCAGCTTTCCTTGGCTCTTGGGAGAGCATCTCCCAGTCTTGGAGCATCACGCGTCTCCATGTGCTGGGGATGCTTGAAGGTCTCTAGCCAACCTCCCTTCGGACGCTGGAGGACTCCCCGGCTGCGTTCGTTGAACGCAAGGGCTGTCACTGGAGATGATTTCTCTATTTCGTACTTGATTTATAGAATCAAGACTCTTACCCAAACAGAGAGCTTTAAGTACCCTGGTTGCCTCTTAAAAATGGTCGTGCTTTTCTACTCTTGGGTGGCAAAGCCACCTCTGCTCTTTACAGGGACCGCAGAGCTGTAGGCGCTGGGGGCGAAGGGGGAGGCAGGAGCCGATGGCAGGCTTGGCTGCTGGTGGAGGTGGTCTCAAGACGCCTTCTATGTGATGGTCGCTGGCAAGGTGACTGGTGTTCATCAAACCAAAGACCAAACCATGTGCAACAGTCAGCTAGGGCTAGTGATTTTGTTGTGCCTCGCACCAACAATAGGCAGAAGATGAAACACTGGCTTTAATCTGGGTGTCGAAGGAAGCCCCATCACTCCAAAGGGTTAGCTCAAGAGGCGTTGGCTGGATTTTTCTTCCCCTTCCCTGGGCCACCCCTTCCAGGGCAAAGCTGGAGATGAGACCTCAAGTTACCTCCTTCGAACTGGTGCCTGGAAGTGAGAGGACCTTGGTCCTTGGCTTCTCAGTAGTTTGGAGAACATGGAAGGAGCTAAAATCCATCTCTTGCCTGCGCAGTCTCATCTCCTAGGCTTGCAAGGGGATTTGCGTGTGTTGTGCTGCTGAAATAAGGTAGAGCTCGTGGATGCCCACTGCTCCTGGTGCACCGCATCTCTGAGCAGATGTTTGGTGTCCTTCGGTACGGGATGGCAGCAGAGAGGCAAGGATCTGTGTGAAGCCGCATGGCCCTGGCCAGCTTACAGCCCACTGGTGTTGATGTACTCGGTTCCCTGGGGTGCAGTAGGTGGCTATTCTGGGAACACAGCATTTACTTCAGTCGTTTCTTGGCAATTAAGACAGACCGAGCGACCAACTTCAAAAAACGGTGTCATAGTTGGTATATATAGCAAACTCACCACATTTCCACTCAGTCCTTCCAAAACCTGCCTCCTGTGCTGAATGAGTTTCTTTGGGACTAAGGTATGTGTTTGCCTTTTTTTTTTTCCTTTTCTTTTTGGGGGCTTTTTTCTGCTCTGCCGTACTTATTCTTGGCTCCGCAGCTCTGGCAGACATCCTGCTGTCCTGCTGCCCGGGCATGCCAGCACAGGGGCTGCTTTCTGCAGAGGTCCTGCCCTGGAACCTGGGATGTGCAGGTAGCTCAGCCTTGCCTGGGACCCAGTATCCTGGCTGCAAGATGAGGTGGGATGCTGGCTGGGTCTGCAGCATGGCTGGAGGCTCCGTGCTGTCCTGCAGGCAGATGGGACGGTCTTTCCAGGCACCGAGGGCCTTTGACAAATCACACTGGCAAGTGCCTGCCTTCCTTTCTCTCTCTTTTAATAGCCCCTGTTACCATATCCGGGGATAACAGCATCCAGCGCAGATACTCGGAGCTGTGGGTGCTTCCCGTGGGGCCAGAAACACCCTTTGCCAAACCGGGCTGCCGCTGCCTGCAGTATCAATATGATATCAGTAGCTGCTCTGCTGACAAAGCTCCTGCTCGGTTTGCTTGCCGGAGGCTTTTCCCCCAGGGTGCAGGTGTTTGTTTCTCATTCAGCACCCAGGCTGTGCCACCAGCATCCTTTCTGCTTGTTTTAGCTTCGTAAGGGTATGTTGCAGGTTGGGCTCCAAACTTCCCCTTTCCTCGTGCCTCTCGGTATGGATGATGACCTGGTGGGGATGGTGGGTCCTGACATTAGAGTTCAGACCTTCCTTGGCCGTTGACTTTCAGAAGTAAATACATCAGCTTTTCTCAGGCTCCGTTTCCCAGTTTCTGCCACTTTGGCTACAATTGTGGGTTGCTGTCTCTATGTGAGCCTGCGTTGGGAGCCCGGCTGGTGCTGGCGTCTTCCCAGCCCTCCTGTGGTCTGAGTTACAGGGTCTGGGACCAAAGCTCCATTACCAGGGGGCGGCGTCCCGGGATCTCTGGCATGACTGTCCCTGGGATTTTTTTTTTTTGGCTCACACAAGGCTTTCTGTCCTCCTGTGCCATGCTGCGTCAGAAACCCACACTTCCACCGGCTGCCTGCCAAGTTTCCTCTGCTCTTATCGCTGCTCTTGGCTGTGGGATGCTGCAGACCGCCGTGGTGCTTCCCCTCCGACGGCGAGTTCCCCACGCACCTTCCAGTTTCCATCATCCTCTGTGCGCTTGCCCTTCCAAGCCATCGGAGACATCATTCCATCCAGTCTGCGTGCAATAGCTCAGGATGACAAAGTCTATTGAAGTCTCATCTTCTGGGTCCTTCCAGCCTCTGGTTTCTCCTAATGCTTGATGAAATCTATGAAAAATGGCCTGTGGTGATTTTTTTTTTCTTTTTTTTTCCATGGAAGGCCAAAAGAGAAGAAATCACATGCATGTTTTGGGTTGAGGTCTAGAGGGAAATGCTGGAGGGTTGCTGTTCTAGTTTGTGACACTTTTTCTTGTTTTGCTTGTCCTTGCCGTTAGCTGCACAGCCTGAAAGAAATAAGTTTGGCGTTACAGCTCTGAGGGTCTGGTTGAGGATTAGAGGTGTGCGAGAGCTTCAGCTCCTGGGAGAACAGGGCTTAGAAGCAAATGAAACGTCTCTGACTTCAATGAGCCTTGAGTCCACACCAAGCCTTGGCTGGGTGGGTGCTCCTGTCCTGCCTGTTGGCCAGGGTGGGCTTGTACAGCCCCGTGCACCCTGTCCTTGGGGATGCAGCTCTCAGCATGAGGTGTCCTTACTCATTTAGACAGATCCCACCTTGCATACACTGAGTGTTAGGACCTGCATTTAGCGATAGATCTGCTGAACGCCTGGTGCCCTCACTCTCTGATGGTCACTGCAGGGTTCCTGGGTGCCTCTGCCTGAAGTCAGAGAAGAGACATGGCAGTGACAAAGATCCAAGGTGAACATGCCAACATGCCTAAATGCCTCTTTTTTTTTTTTCTTGGCAGCTTGACAGGACAGAGACAGCTGTGAACAACCTCAACCCAGCTTTCGCCAAGAAGTTCATTGTCGACTACCACTTTGAAGAAGTGCAGAAGCTCAAGTTTGCCCTGTTTGACCAGGACAAGTCGAGCATGCAGCTGTATGAGCATGACTTCCTGGGTGAATTCTCCTGCACGCTGGGCATGGTGAGTCCCTGAGGTCCCTGCAGCTCGCTGTCCTCCAGCAAAGGGATCCCAAATCATGTCAGCCAAGGGACGTGGCGGGATTAGAACTGCTACTCTTGCCTACTGTAAAGTTTGCTGAATCCTTCCTGGCAAAACTAATTTAATTTGCTTGTCAGACTTCAACTGTTGAGGTCGAACTGTTTTATTTTAGGGCTTTGGCTCAAGTCTAAGCTAGTCTTAGTGTGGGCTTCTGCTAGCGCCTGCAGAGAGACACCAACTGGAAGCTTTTGCAGGTACCTGTATCTCACCATGGCTTGTAGTAAGAGCCCTGATGGCCAGCTTGGATTTGGACTTGGAAAACTTCCAGATGTTTAAAGTTAGGATGCATTGCAGGCTATCTTTCTACCTCAGTTTGGGGGTTTTTTTTGTTTGTTTTTGGGTTTGCTTTTTTTTTCCCAAATCTTTGTCCATTGCCATTGTGTAGCAAATCATCTCTCCTACTTTAGCGTGTTGGTGCAGGAGTGTGTCTTCTGCTCTTCCTGTGGAAAAGCTTTCGGGACACAATGCAATTTATAAGCCTTTGGAAGGTCTTTGCGTTCATGAGCCCAGACCCTGTTAGAAGTTGGCAACTGAATTCTCCAAATGTCTTTGTTCTCTGAGCTTGCTCTGACTCAGAGGCAAGGAATGAGGGGGATTTTTTCCATTCTTTTGCAGCATCCAGCAGCTCAGGGCTGCTGTGGTACCTGGCAAAAGGGCAGAGGCTGGGAGAAACTCTCTGTGTTGTGCTCAGTGCTGGGACCCGGGAGGAAGGAGACTCTGTAATAGGTGGGTCGATGTGGAGAGCCAGCCCAAGGTCTTCAGGGAGTCTCATAGAATCACAGAATCATCTGGGCTGGAAGGGACCTTTAGAGGTCATCTAGTCCAACCCCCCTGCGGTGAGCAGGGACATCTGCAACTAGATCAGGTTGCTCAGAGCCCCACCCAGCCTGACCTTGAATGCCTCCAGGGATGGGGCTTCCACCACCTCTCTGGGCAACCTGTTCCAGTGCTTCACCACCCTCATTGTAAAAAAATTTTTCCTTATGTCTAGTCTAAATCTACCCTCTTTTAGTTTAAAACCATTACCCTTTGTTCTCTCACAGCAGACCCTGCTAAAAAGTCTGTCCCCATCTCTCATATCGACCCCCTTCAGGTATTGGAAGGAACGTGATCACTTTGTTACACAGGCTGCAGTATGGCACTGCACATGGCAAGGGGGCCCGAGTGACCTTACCATTGCCAACTGAAGAGCATGACCAGTTGGAAGTGCACTGACGTTTACAGAGTTTGAGGTTTAATGTCTGGGTTTTTAGAAGTGCTCTGTGATCACCTAATTCTGCTCCTGCAGAAGTTAAGAGGCGGTGCAGGCAACAGCCCAGGCTGGCGTTCAGTGATTTAGACCAAACCTAAACACCATTAGTTCTCCTGTTGCTGCTGAAACACAGCCGCATCTGGTGCGGGGCAGTTCATCAATGCTCATTGTGAAGGTCATGGTCTTGGTGGAAGCTGCAAGCAAAGAATTTACGGACATAAGCAAACAGAGCCGGAACCTTGCTGTTCCTGAATGTGGCTCTGCAGAAGTCTAGGGCTCTGCAGGCTCATGCTGGAGAGGAACGTTATCCATATGCGCTGGGGAGGAAGGTGGAAGAATCTAACCCATCTCCTCTTGCTTGTTGGGTCTGCCAGAAAAGCCCAACCCTTTCAGGTGCTTTGAAAAGTGATTAGCTCGGAGCATGAGACTGGACAGACCATCCTGGGGCTGCGGTAATGGTGGGGATGGGCAGCTGTCGGCAAGTCTCACATCCAAGGTGCTCACTCCGAACAGTTGATGGTTTAGCCACGGTGGCTGACAGGCACGGCACAACTGTCTATTGTGTCTTTAGGCACAGCTGGTGGGTTTAGTCCGTCAGAAAAAAGAGCACTCTGAACATCTGTAATCTCATGCAAGTGTTTACGCTCTGCAAAAGAGAACTTGGCTTATGTGTGTGCCCAGTTTTTGCAGCAGTTCCCATGTGAGCTTCTTGGTGACCTTTAGTCCACAACGAGACACCAGCTTGGAATGGAGGGATCTTCTTGTTTTCCTTTTTTCTCTGAAATTCTGTTAGCATCCCCTCCCTGTGGCCCGTGTGGGCTTGCAGCACAGCCCAGTCGTGGGACAGAGGTGTCCTGGAGGGGTAGCACGTGTGCAAGGGTGGCTGATGAGGAGAGGGGTGACACAGGGTGGATGGGGGCTTGTGGGTTCAGCCACCCTGCTGTGGGTTTTCTGATGGCTGGATTTTGTCTCGTGAGATGTTTCCATAAGCCTGCCTGGGTTTGAGGCACAAGCAGCTCTTAGAAGGGGAGGAGAGCAGCCGTCGGCAGCAACAACTGCACAGCAAGCATCTGACTTTTCAGTTTTGAGTTTGCATCGGAGTTCTGTCAGATTAGCCAGATTGTTTTATTGCAGCTAATTAGGTCTGAGGTAAGATTTAAAAGGATGGTTGGATCATTCGCAGGCCTGTAATGACCTCTGCAGCCAAACAAGTAACAGGGATCAAATTGGAGGCTGGACGGTGTCCATGGTTTCTGCTAGACTGGGTTGCGAGGAAATTTCTCCTCCCTGGACACAGCATGGCACAAACGTCCAGTTACACTGGCTGGTGATTCCTATGCATTTATGGATCAAAGGCACCAGGCCACAGCTGGCTAACCTCAACAGGAAAGGGTTTTTGCCTTGAAATTGCCAGAATCATAGGATCACAGAATGGTTTGGGTTGGAAGGGACCCTTAAAGACCACCCAGTTCCAACCCCCCTGCCACGGGCAGGGACACCTCCCACCAGACCAGGTTGCTCAAAGCCCCATCCAACCTGGCCTTGAACACTTCCAGGGATGGGGCATCTACCACTCCAGTGTTTCCCCAACCTCATCATAAAAAATTCCTTCCTTATATCTAGTCTGAATCTACCCTCCTTTAGTTTAAAACCATTACCCCTTGTCCTATCGCAACAATCTGTCCCCATCTTTCTTATAAGCCCCGTTTAAGTATTGAAAGGCCGCAATAACGTCTCCCCGGAGGGAAGAGAACATTTCTGGGGAGCAATGGGAGGAATCCAATCATGGCTGGGTCACCTGGATGGCAGGAGCAACAAGTGAAGCCATTTCATTATGTGGTTTTTTTGAATTGTTATTATTGTTTTCTGACTGTGTGACGTAGGACCAAAGCGGGAGGCAGAAGGATGGATGGGACTGCACTTTTTAAACTGCAACCCCTAGATCTCGAAGGTGTCCCCACTAGCTACGGGAGTAGAGCACAGATAGTTCCAGCAGGTTGCTGGATCCCCATGTGGGGTCTGCGTCTCGTGGGGAAAACTTCCAGGATCCCCAGATCTGAAGGCGACTGAAACTCAGTGGACTGGGAAAAATCTCAAGGGGTTTAGTTGAGCTCCCAGCTCATCCTGTCTGGCCTCTTACAAGCGAGAAGTGAAGGGGAGCGCATGTCTTTGGTCAGGGTGCAGACCTCTGTGCCTTACTTGGCAGCAGCGGTGCAGGGGGTTTGGAAGGATGCTGCGGGAGAGCATCCGGCTTGTAATCAGGATTCACACATGGAAATGTGGCCTGAAAGCAGGTTGCTGGCAGGGGTCGTGTTAGAAGTATTTACAATGGGGTTTGAGAGGCTGAGCTGTGATTTTGCTGGGAACAAAGCACGGCAGCTCCAGCTGTGTGAGATGCCACTGACCTTCTCCATGCAAGGAGCTGGTCCCTGGGCTCAGCGGGAGGTGATGCTTCAGCCTCTTGTGCCGGTGCTGCTCTGCACTGTTCAGCTACTGCCCTGCGCCCCGTGGGCTCGGGTGACAGTGCTGATATTCACAGTATCAGGGTCATCCCTGCACACGATGTCTTTCTTCTACTGTTGTGAATGCTTCATCTGAATTAACTAACGTGAGCAATGATCAGTTGCTTATGAGTCTGCTTTTGCTCACTTGTACAATCATAACTTTATTTTTTTTGGCTTCTCTAGATCGTCTCCAGCAAGAAAATAACAAGGACTCTTCTTTTGGGAAATGGCAAGCCGGCTGGGAAAGGGATGATAACGGTACGGTTACTCCTTTACGTTACCTACTGAGTGTATAAAGGCAGATAATAACCTGGGGGCAATGCCAGACACTCACCTGGGGTCCAGGAGGCTGGGGTTTCTCTCATGAACATTTTTCCCTTTACCTCCCATTTTCCTGCCCACTTTGGTCTGTTTGGAGGACGATTTATTCGGGGCAGGGACTGTCTGGCCCAGTGTCTGCCGACTGCCCAGTGCTGTCAGTCTTCAACCTCTGCTTTGGTCTCTGAAATAAGAAAAAACCTCAATCTGGAGAAGCATAAAGTAAATCTATGCTGCTGGTACAACATGCCTGCTCGGCCCTCCCCGGAGCAGCAGGAGGTAAGAGGGCTGATTCCTTTGCCGGTGGTTTTCTTTGCAGGAAGAGGATGGGAGCTGTGCTGTAGCAACAACTCTCGTAGCAACAACTCTCATATCAACAGCAGCTGCTCCCAGTGCAGACCCCTTCGGGCAGCGGCCTTCCTGCTGCGCATCTCTTTAGCGATGGGTTGTTGTAAAAAGAAAAGACTAAATTTAGGTGCGCTTCCCTCCTGCCACATCTCCCATCGTTTTTGGACCTCTTCTGTGTTACGGGTTTTGCAACGCACGCAGCCGGGCAGCAAAGGTGTGGAAGAAAAGGCCGGGAAGGAGTTAAATTTCCGTCAGGTTTAAAAGCACTGGAAGGGTTTTGAAGCCCAGGACCCGGCTGCTGCAAAGGCATCTCCATCGCTGTTTGCTCTAGAGGCTGCAAAGACGCTGCCAACTTTTGTCTCTTAATTGCTGCAGTTAGTCTTTAAACACAAGAGGATAAGCTGCCGTGAAGTTCCCAAGCGGTGCCTGACGCTGTGTGCCATGCCCGAGGAGCGGGCTCTTGACACCGGGTCTGACGCTTGAGTGGGAAGAGCTGGACCAGATGAAAAGGTTCCAGTCACATTCAAAGGTTACGTGCTTTTAAAAAAAGGAAGGTCCTGATCTGTCACTAATGTGTCACTAAAAATCAAAGGGTCTGAGACATGTACTTCATTTTGTACTATTGATGCAATTTTCTGATTCGGGTTTTTTTTTTTTGCCCTGGCTTGGACTAGGTGATGACAACAGGGTCGTGTGTGGTGGGCACCTTTCCCCACTGCCTGGCCCAGCACTGGAGCACAGGCTTATGGGCACCATTGGAGGAGCAGGCTTCAGCTTTGGACTCACATGTATAAAACACGGAGGTTGGGGCCAGTGCCTGCCTTCCTCATCCCCATCCCCTTCAATTTTGCCTGAGTATCCATTTTCTTAACTGAGATGCCACAAGGGTGAATGCAATGGCAGAACCTTGGCTGGCTGGCTGGGATTGCGTGGGGGTCCCTAGGTTTGAAGAGATGGGGAAAATCCCAAAGTGAGCCGCTCTGTTCACAGAAATCAATTGCGAGGTCTTGCTGGACGCCTCTCCCAGACACAGCGGTGGGGATGTTATTGTCCGTGCTGGCCAAGAGAAGATGCCGCCAGCAACCTGCAGCAGCGTGGCACAAGGACATATCTGGCTTGTCTGTGTGGTTTGGCTTTTACGTAGCCTGCAGTCAGCCCTAAAATGCTGGACGCCAACTGGGTGTGCTTTTGTGAGGATCAGCAAAGGGCAAATTTCATCCACTTCCCTACAGCTCCTCTTCCTCACGCTGGTTTTGGTGACCGTGTGTGCCCACCGAGGAATAGGTGGGAGAGAAAACTGATGCCATAGCTTTGCAACAGGGAACTTCTGACTTCACGGCTGTATGGAGCAGAGGGGAAAATTGGGTTTTGCATGCTGTGAACGGATCCTCTGTGGACCAAAGAGTTGTGTTCGCTGGAGGACACAACATGGAAAGGCTGGGAGGCTGTTCAGGAGCTGCAGCTCGTCCCCTCACCTAGCTGCCCAGGCAGATTCAAAAGATGCATCTCTGCCTCCTCCTCTCTGCAAACTCCCCAGCTCTCCTAAGTGCCAATAACCCTCTGACTGCTTGTTCTGCACAAAATTGTCCCCTTGATTCTGCAAGTTTTTCTAAAAGCTTTGCTGTAATTACGCTGCTTATCTCCAGTGAAGGACAGCCTTGTTGTGAGAGCCAGCAAACGGCCACGCTTGGGAGCACTGTATGCAAGGAAAATGTCCAAACCATGTCCACTCCATCCTACCCAGGGAGGATGCTGCAGCCGGGGATGCCGGGCTCAGTCCACCCCGGGAAGCAGAGGAGGGAGAGGTGAGGAGCAGATGCTTGGGCAGGAGACAGCCTTGAGGAAAAAAATGCAAGTTCTTCAGAAAATGGCTGGTAACAAAAGTGAATAAATGTGGTTTTTTGTCATTCCCTTTCTTAAAATACCAAGACACTCATTAGCCCACGTTCCAGACAAAACCGGCCCACTGGTAGTTGGCAGCCGAAGACCTTCTGGAGCGTATGTGAATAAAGTCTCTTAAGTAATCTGGGCTGCACTCCTGCCTGCTGTAGCTCCTCAGGATCAAAGATGGAATTTTCATCCTTGGGGCTGTCTTGTCAGGTGATTATGTGGAGACGTGGCTCAAGTCCTCGGTGCCACCGGCACCTCCCCAAAGGGATGAGGCAGCTGCTTTTTGCCATGCCCAGCCTGGGACTTGGAGATTGAGCTGGCACATCTTGCTGACTTGGTCCTCAGAGGCTTCTCCAGATCCTCAGGGAGCCCTGGTGCAGAAAAGCCACATGAGACCAGGAAAGGGGATGAGTTGGTTACCAGAAGCTTGATTTTAGAGCTGATGGCAGGGTCTGCTTGTGGTGTCCTGGCACCTCATTCTCTCTTGGGGTTGTCCATTCGAGAGGCTTAATCGTACCTGTTGACTCCCAGCCCTGCAAATGGATGTGTTTCACATGGACCCAGCCCCAGCGATGAGACCGTGGAGGTCAGTGGGTGTCCTGGGGCTCTGGCTGCAGCATCAGCATCGTAGCTGGTAGCCTGCTAAGAAAACAGACCTTGTTTTGGTTTAAAGCCAGTGTGTCGCTGCCTCGGCGTATGGTAAATGGCAATGCCCATCCAGGGGAAGTCTGGGCTTTTTTCTCCATCCTTCTCCATTCCAGGGAGGAGCTGGGAAGTAGGCTTTGGTCCCAAATTGATCTGCAAAGGTAAAAATCAGTTTAACTCTTCGCTAGTGAAATACTGTGTGCATTAGATCATCCCGTCTCTTAGCTGGGAAATGGGTTTTGGAGGAGTTGTGCAGGTATCTTCAGAGTGCACATCCTCAGGGTCTGGCTTCTCCTCTGGCTTGGTGTTCACGTTCTTTTCATGCTGAAAACGAATGCAGCCTCCACTTGCCTTTCAGATAGCTGCCCAAGAGCTCTCGGATAACAGGGTGATCACGCTGAGCATGGCCGGCAGAAAACTGGATAAAAAGGTGAGTGTGGTTGTGTCTGGGGAATGCAATGTTAAACTTCTGTCCTTCGTAGGCTAAGAGATCTAAAGAAATCTCTGCTTTTGGGTATAGCAGTGACAGAAAATAGTCCTACTGGAGAAGGCATTAGGGTGAGACTGGAGGGGTTGGAGTCCTGGCAGTGCCACTGGCGCTGGGTACGCCCGTGTCTCAGTTTCCCTGTTGTCACAATACTGCTTTCTTCATCGTGCGCATTGGGATAGAAAGATGATGTGTGGCACAGGATCTATGTACTAGCATGTCTTAAAGACAGCAGATTTACTACTTCAGTGGCTGTCGTTTGGAAATGTCTCCTGACGGAGCTGGCAGTTTTGATGGCCCTGGAACCCACGTCTCAGAAGTGCTGAGAGCTCCTGGCTTGTTGCCTTCAGCCCCTCTGGAAATGGAGTGAACATCTGCTTGTATATCAAACAGTAGGGCCCATCTTTTCCAAGGAAGAAGTGTTGACCTCATGGAGGCAGGTAGTGCATGAGTTTTGCTTCGGATATGATACGTAGGAAACAGTGAGCCTTTCTGAACAGAGCCATCTGACCTTATTTACCAGGCAGCCGGAGCTATTCCTCTTAAACCAGTGCTGTTGCTAAGCGATCGATGGGAATATTATTTTTTCCTTCTTCCTAGTCTCTCCAGAGCTTGTGTTATTGGCAGGATGGCCTTCAGTTTTCAAACCAGGGTAAAGCAAGTATCCAGGCAGAAGGGTATTTGCTGGGGCAGAAGATGCGGTTTGTCCAGTCCTGTTGTCCAAACTGGATGGATACCTGGTTTATCCAAGTGTTTTTCCCACCTGTTGGGAATGGCTATTTTCTCGCCCTCCTGCTTACCCTGCCTAGTGCAAGGAGCCAAATGCCTTTATTAAGAAATCCCCCAATAACCCCATTTCATAAATGGGCTGGAAGATGTCCTTGAGCTGGTGGCTTCCTCCGAGACGTGGCCAACCCCATGCATGTCAGTGAAGACATCCCTAATGCAACAATCTTCTTCCAGCATCCCCAGAAAAAGCCTCTGCTCCCTTGCAAAGCAAGGGATGGGATTTCACAGCAGGCTTGCTGCCCTTCCTTCGTGCTTCAGGGTCCCTTTGCAGCTGTGGCCATTGTGAAGACCAGTGCCAAGGACCCGGGTTCTCCCTGCAGCGCTGGTACCTCAGGCGTACGTCTGCTTGTTGTATCGGCAGCTTCAGTGGTGGCATCACCTGCTCCATGGGCGGGAGTTGCCTTTCTAATCTGGTTTGCAACCAGGTTCCTCTGCCAGTTTATGCAAAGGTGACATCTTCTCATATTGTTCAATTAGGACATGACCTGTGGGCCTGCTGCCCTTCAGACCTACAGTCAAGGTACGGAAATTCAGCATCTACCTGGTTACACTGGGATAAGGACTGTGAATAATCCTATTCTTTCTGGGTCTCCCTCCAGTTTATCAATGGGTGTCAGCAGAAATCTCCTTCCTCAATGATGACCTGCCATCACCAAGAGCTAACGAGATTTCTTGCTGATTCCCATAACATGGAGCAGCATTGGAGTGCTCAAAGTCCTGCGCAGGGGCAAAGGATGTTCATGTCACTTCACACAAATTAAAATGGTCTCTGAACAAGGAAATTGGATGAAATACAATATTTTTGGGTTGTTATTTGTCACGGATGAAATGCAACTGTGAGCTGGGTAAAACTCATTTAAGCTTAGGAAAGACAGGGGAGAAGTGGCTAAGCAAAAGCCACAGGGGTAAGGCTGCAGCCTGGGAGGGCAACACCCTCCTGCACCAGGCTGCACGTAGTTGGGGGGGCACAGCCGGAGGCTTGGACATCATGTGAAGGGATCAGATCCCACAGGATTTTGTGGTGGGGCCATGGGATCATCTTGCTGCACACACCAAGCCAAAGCTGCGAGCATCCCTTACCGGCAGCTGTGCCGCAAACCCAGCTTGGGGCCATGCTCGGCTCAAGCAGCTCCTTCTGCCGTGACCACCCTGAGGATGGGATCTCTCTCAGGCTGCGGGCAGGTCCTCCTCCCCATCACACGTCCACGGTTTCTCCACCTGCGGTTCACTACTCTGCTTTAAATGCTGAAGCTTCTCAGCGGGATCATGTCAGCAGCAGAACCAGCCTGAGGCTCTTGTACCTTATGTCAAACCAGCTCTCGGGAGAGTTCTTTTAAGAAAAAATATCTTGCAGAAGAGGAGGCATTTTCACCTGGGACCAGCCCTGGTGAACTCGGCCCGAGAACCGCGTGTGCCACTGCAGCTGTGGGGAGAGCAGGAGGGCAGCGATGCTTTGGTATGGCTCGGGGAGAGCAAGCGCTGAGAGTCAGGATTGGTGCTGTGGTTTGGGGAGCTGCCTCCGGTAGCACCTCCACTCTCCTTGTCCATGGTGTGCAAGGACCAGTTTGGGTGATTTAAGTTCTTGGACCGGTTTGCAGATCGATCTGATCTGCTGAGCATCTTTGGTTGCTCAGTTTCCATCTCCCGCCAGGCTTGCAGGGGTGAGATGTTTGCGGGTTTGATGTTTTAAAATAGCAGCCTGCAATCCTGTGGCTTGGAGGCATCTCCCAGCCTCCTTTGAGTGGTGTGAGGCTGCCGGGACTTGCAAACTGGGCAGCTCTGCATGGGACGTCAGCAGACATCCTTCAAAGCTCCCCGCTGCCATCTGAGCCGGTGTCTCCACCACCCCACGCTGGGTTGGCGCTGATGAAACCACGTTGGGTTGCAAGTTAAGGCAGCGTAGGCAGGGTCAGGTACCCACCGCTGGTTCTTTAATCCATCAGTGAAGCTTGAAAGTGCCAAGTCCAGGCTGTGGGTGAGCAGGATCAGAGCTGTGCCATAACCGTAACCCTGCAGAAAGAATGGCTTGGTTTTCTCTCCTATAAACATGTGGAAAAGGGTAAGAGAAAAATAGCCTCATCTCACCAGAGAGTGTCCCTGCAAGCCTTTATGGTCTGCTCCTCTGGCAGAAGAATTTTGACTGAAGCAGGTTCTAGTTTCTCCAAGCCAAAACACTTTGTAGTGATTGACTTTTCCAGCTGGCTTTGGAAATGGGATTTGGATAGAAACAGTAATGGGTTTTCTGCTGGGGCATCACTAGAGCCTGTGTCCATCCCAGCCACCACCTCCCGGGCTGGCTGTGGGCAGGGGCTCCTGGGGCATCCATGCTTCCTCCACCTCCACGAGCAGCTCCCTGCATCCCTTGGAAGCCCAAAAAAGCTCCTGTTCAAACCCGTAAGAAGTTCCTCCAGCTCTTTGCAGGACTCAGGCACCCACCTCCCTCTGGGAGGAAAACACAGCTGAAATGACTTGAGTTCTCAGTAAATAATTTGGAATGTTTTGGGCTTGGTTTCTTGTTAGTCGCTCCTTAGTTTTTCTGAATGGGAATGAAGTTCTGCTTAGAAATGCTGGAGTTCCCCTGTGTCGGTGCCACCCTCCTCTCCGGGCTGTGGATGCCCCGAAGTAGCCCCCATGCCGACACCCAGCAGGGACGCGAGTGTATGTGTACGTATTTCTTACAAGCCAGCAGCCCTTTATCGGGGGGGATATCGGAGGAGACGCTGGGGGGGAAGGCAGCACACACTGATGCATCTCGGAGGGTGTTACATGAGCTCTGTCAACACCAGGGCAGCTTGCTCCTTAAAGATTTCCTCTGCTTATGCTTTACTGCTGTGTGTAGGAGGGTGTGGGTTTTTTTTTTTTTCCTTTTTCTCCCAAGACACTCGTGCACTTCATAATTCTGTTTTTCCTTTAAAGCTTTGGATGTTTTTCCAAGCCCAAACGCAGCTGCCTCCCAGCTGGGGTTGTTTTCCATGGCATCTGTATCCAGAGGGCTTGCCGGCTGGTGGACACCCACTGGCAAATCCCACGGGCGCACGCCGGCATGCCAACTCGCCCGCCACATCGGTGCCGAAATGCAGGGATTTGTGTGACCAGGACACAGAGGGGTGGCAGGGTGCTGCCCATGGGTGTTGCCTCTTTGCCGACACGCTTGACCCGGTCTTGTGAGGACGTGAGGGTGTCTGCAGGGGTGGCACTGCCTGCGGAAGGAGGTGTCTCTTGGACCGGCTGTTGCTGCTTGCAAAGCACCATGTAACCCGTCCTGTTCTTCTCCCCCAGGACCTGTTTGGAAAGTCAGACCCCTTCTTGGAGTTTTATAAACCAGGTGATGATGGGAAATGGATGCTGGTCCACAGAACAGAGGTGAGCACAACTCTAACCTGAGCTGCTGAGACACCACCATCCTTACATCTGCTCCTCTTGCCCTTCATGGCATTATCTCATCGATCACCCACAAAGCAAGGTGGGCTCCAGGGATTTCAAAACCTTATGGCTGCCCTCCTGGTGTCCAGCTGAGGCTGCTGGACTCCAGCGGATGAAGAATTGCTGAGGCCAGCAAGGTCTTGAGATCTTTTCTGTACTCCTCACTACTGTCTCTACCAAGCAGAGAGGGAGATGGTCTTCTAACCCGTGTTAACCTTTAGGCTGAGCCTGGGCACGGGCTGAGCCCTGGACCACTCTCCCTCCACTTGCAGGAGCAGCAAGATGAGCTGAAATCTGGGGAGATGGTGGAGAGAGGTGGTGGGAGGTGGCCCAGAGAATGGTAGGGGGAAAGGTTAAAACAAGCTTTTCCCAGATCCTCAGCTATCCTGGGAGGATGCTCGGGCGTCTCCAGCTTCAGTGCGCAAGCACTCGGCCTCGTGTCTAACAGAGCCGGAGCCCCGGCCGAGGAGGCAGAGACCTGTAGCAGGATCCCAGTGGGTATGGTCAGGAGCAGCTCACCCCTCCCTGTCCCTCTTTTATATTTGCTGCAATATTTTGATCTGAGCTCCCTTTCTGGTTATATTCTCAAGCTGCTAAAGCCGGTGATATTATGGATAAGAGGCACAGCACAGGCAAGGAGAAGCAGGCTGCCTTCTGCTTTAGCACCAGGCTAATAAGTACTTTTCAACAGCCTTTTCTTCCCTCCTCAAAGCTTGTTTCAAGGCCCTTTTTTTTTTGCATGTAGTTCCTGGCAGCTGGCAGAGAGAGGAGGGGGCGATCACTGCAGGAGGGGCTCACAGCAGCCTCCGTCTTGGAGGAAGAGGGTCCCGTTGCACCCCATCTCACACCCCTCTTTTTCCCATCCCCATCTCACACCTCTCCTTTTCTTGTCCCCCTCAAGGCTTGGCTAAGGTTGTCCCACCACAGCAAATTGCTGTAATAAACCACAGCGGAACGAGAGGGTGATGTTTATTTACAAAGTCTTGCCATACATTGGGTTTTACCACTGCTGTGCAAAGCCCACGAGGATTTCCTTCACTTGCACACCCACGTGCACATGAGCACCAGGCCGTGTGTAACACTGTGTGTCCTGCGGTACCCATACGGGCTGTTCTTTCAACCCTGGCTCTGCTGTTTCTTTTTTGATGCTTTCCCACACACGTTTCCCTGCATATTTAATTCATACCAACCTTAATATTTCTCTTGTATTTCTGCGGGAGCAGGCTGGCACCTTGTTTGGTTGTTTCCTCCTGGTTTAGTGCGGGTAGCCGGGCTTTGGCTCACCAAGATGTGTTTCTCAGACGTGGGGATTTGGAGTGACCTCCAGCCCTTCCTCCTGGAAGAAGCATGGGAGATGGGAACACGGCTGTGCACCAGCCATCGCTGGGATCTCTGTGAGCTGGTCGGGTTTATGGGGAGCAGATGTATATACTGATTTTTTCCTCTGGGTTGCTGGCCAGTTCCTCCACTGTCCTGTCTCACTGGATAAGGGTCTAGCCAGGTTTTCTTTCAAGTAATGGGTGCTCCAACAGCCTCCGTCTTACCAACCCCAAATGTATCCCACTGCCCTCGGAGGAATCCCATACCAAGTGACCATCTTTGTGTTTTGAGACCTGATACGAAGAAATAAGGTTCCCCATTCATGCAGCTTTCAGTGTGGGAATATAACCAGCTCTCAGTTTGATGCTGGCATTTCTCATGCCACGGCGGAGGTGTCTGGCAGGGAAGGATTAGTGCGCTCATTACAGCCTGTTATTTAAGCACAAGTGTGAATGCCCAGCTGGGCGCCGTGCGATGGAGGCACCGGATCCCTCCCCGCCCACTCTGGGGACCCGGCGGCTGGCAGCGTGCGGGCACCATCTCGGGGTGCGTGGGCTCCCCCTGCTCTTCCCAGCCTCCCGGAGGAGGTGTTTATAAATTCTCGACTAAACTGTGCTTGCAGTGTCAGGGTTTCCCCTGGTCTTGTGTAAGAGCCTGTCTGTAAAACACGATGCCTGCAGCAGCCGCAGCCATGGACCTCCTCCTCGCTGGCCTGTGCTGTTGCTGCTCCGGCTGCAAAGGTCCAAGGTCCTCCGTACCAGATATCCCCCATGTTTGCCTTGCACAGGGAAGGGTTAATCTGCTGCCCATGTCTGACTCTCCTAATACTCACGTGAATCTCTCTTTTTGAGCACAACACCTTTGAGAAAGAGGGTCTTTACCTGCCCTGCAGGCGTCTCTGATGTACGCAGCATGTGCCTGGAGCCTGCTAGCATTTGCTTGGGTTTCCACCAAGCAATTGCATTCTCTCAGGAAATGTCAAAAAGCATCAATTAATATTTCTCCAACTCAGGCAACAGATGTTACGCAGATGGGGTGAGAGATCTGGACGTGCCCAGGGCTGTTTGCCTTTCTTGGCTGGTTGCAGCATCCCACCGCTCCATCTTCTCGGTGGTCAGACCCCGGATGGATGTAGGCTGCCCTAGGATGCTGGAGGGGAGTAAGCAATGAGTAGGGTGCAAGCAATGGGATGCAGAGGGCATAAATAGTAGCTGCTGGCCTTGAACTGGTGGAGTAAGTGGTTGTGCCCATGCTCTGGGCATGGTTGTGCCCATGCTGCCCAGTCTGCTGCAGCCATTTTCTCGTTTAATTGCCCCCAGAGGTGGATATATCACCCAACGTAATGCAAACAAATCTGTTGTAACTCACACGTGCTGCAGTCTGAGAACAGGGAACCTCTGTGTCTAAGTTAAGGAGGCAGAAGAGGGCTGAGGTGGGGCTTTCTGCAGCTTGCCTGGCCTACTCCACGGAGAAGCTGGTCCAAGGTCACTCTTGGAGCTGTGTCCCCACTTTGTGCCAGTCTGCCCCTGCAGATGTGCCCTTTGTAAGGGCATCCCTCTGTTCCCATCCCCGCAGGTGATCAAGTACACGCTGGATCCCGTCTGGAAGCCGTTCACTGTGCCTTTGGTGTCACTGTGTGATGGAGATGTGGAGAAGCTGATAAAGGTAACAAGAGGACCTTCAGCCTGTATCGTGGTGGTCATCATCTAGGACTAATCATTAAACATCTAAAACCCCATGGCTGGTTTATTAAAAAAAAACAACCAAACAAATCAAAGCAGACTCACCCCCAAAAACAAAAAACAAACTTGTTTGGGGTCTCCAAGAGGAGAGGTTGGGAACTTCAGCAGGTCTCCTTGCAGGAGATGATTACTGTGTCTGAGGCTGGTTTGTGCCCCTTTCACCCTAGGTGACGTGTTACGACTACGACAGCGATGGGGGACACGACTTCATCGGGGAGTTTCAGACCTCGGTGGCCAGGATGTGCGAAGCCCAAGATGCCTTTCCGGTAAGTGCCAACACACTTTTGGGGAAGAACGAGGAAGGGGCTCCTCGGGGCTGGTGGTGGATTTTGGTACTTGCACTGATACCCTCAGCCTGTGCTGAGAAGAAACCAAGTCCAACCTCCTTTCTCCTTCCACCCACACCATGAATGCCCCAGGCCATGGTTGTAGCTAAAGCATTATCTGAGCTAGAGAGAGGGCTGAGGCAGTCTTGGCTGAAAATTGGGCTCTGCTGAGATGTCTGAAGTAGCACCCATGTTTTGGGGGGTGCCCTGTGGTTTGGGGGCCCAGAAGGAGAGGTGTGACATGCTGCCGGGGCTGCATCTGCAGCAGGGCCAACCTAGTCCCCAGAAGTACCAGCTCCCGTGCAACTCCACACTGGTTTTGTGGCCAAAGGTGTCCCCGTCTTCTCCCCCAAAGTGCTGGCCAAAAGCCTTGGCAGATGCCACCTGATTGAAGGCATGTCATGAAGACTCCTGGATAAGCAGGGCTTTTCACGGCTGTCATCACTAGGATTACAAAACCAAGAGGAGGTCTTGGCTGAGACGTGGGGATGTGTAAAACACCGTGCATGGTGCAATGAGAAAAGTTTCCTGGCTGGGGAAACTGAGACACAAAGGCACAAAGTGTCCAGTCTAGGACTGCACAAGCTGGTGGTGCCAGAGAGAGGTGTTCAGCCCGTTTTTCCAGTGGATTTGCAACCTATAGCCTAGCAATAAAATCTTCTCTCCATCGAACCCTGATTGATGCTGGTTAGAAGAGAGTAAAACTCGCCTTGAGCGCGCCTGTGCTGCTGTGGCCCTGGGCATAACATGGGTCCGCCTGGGGAAGGGCTCTCTCTGCCTCCTTCCCTTGCTTGGCTTGTCACGAAAGGTTGGGCACCTTCCGTTCCCTGGTAAAGCTGTTCCCCAGCTGATGCCGCGCTCTGAGCAGAGCTGCCACGGGCTCCGGGAGGAAGAAGGTGACTCCAAAAGCAAGTGGCTGCTTGTTGGCCACTGCCGCGTATCGCCCTTCAGCATCCCTTCTCCCTAGGGTGACTCCTTGTGACCTGTCTCATCCTTTCATGTGGCCATGCTGATGAGGGTAAATACAGAAACATGGACAGAGATGCTTTTGCTGTAGACCAGGCACCACATGCTGGCCTGCCGGTAGGTTGGGAGCAGCACTGTCCACCCACAGCCTGGCCGAGATGGAGGGAAAGGCTCATTGCTGTCTCCAGGGGCATCGCTGGGCTGGTCTGAGCAGGTCCAGGGCCATCACCGAATGGTCTGAACAAGTCTGGGACCATCACCGAATGGTCTGAGCAGGTCCGGGGCCATTGCCAGGCTAGTGTGAACACATTGAGGACCACCACCAGGCTGATACGAGCAGGATGCTGGGGGAGTGGGCACTGACCAGCCACCACTGTCCCACGTGGCAACCACATGGGAGATACCTGCTAGTGGGTTTGGGCTGGACCATCTGCCTGGGTTTATTCAGAGTTAGGGGATTTTGTCAATAGATCTTTATTTTGATTTTGTTCAGTCAGTGAAATGCAGCATTCACATTCAGGAAACGTAAGGATTTTAGTATTTAAAATTTTCCCATTTTTCTGCTGCTGGAAGAATAGACATGACTTTCTCTCTGTGCTCCCCCTGCCCAGTCTTGCCCTCTCCCCCAGACCAATCCACATGTAAACTTTGTTCTTTGACAAGAGTTTTTATTCAGTTTTAGATTTAAAAAAAAAATTAAAATAGTACAGCAGTTTTTTGAATATTCAATAGGCATTCTGTTTTCCCAGAGCTTTTGAGGAAAGGTAGTAGCTTGCCCTAACTATTCCTGTGTTTGACCCATCCCATCCCATTCGCCCCCATCCCATCCCATAGACCCCCGTAGCCTCGTTGAGGTGTCTCCGTTGCCATATGCCAGGTCCTGGGCATGGTGAAAGCCCCTGGAAAGGAAAAACAGCCCCTTCCCAAGCAGGTCCTGTGCCTCCATTTCCATCATTAAAAATCCGTAGCTCACTAGATTCATCTCTGTCTCTTCAGCACTTTGAAACGCATTGAGGGAGGGTGCCCACGGGATGTGGCCGCTGGTGGTTCAACCAGGCCAAGGGCCGGGTCCTGCACT